TGGGGAGACCCGCCCACTGTGATCATACCCTTTCCTGTGGGGAGACCTGCCCACTGTGATTATACTCTTTCCTGTGGGGAGACCCGCCCACTATGGTTGCATCACTTCTGGGCTAGGATCCTGGACCAATAAAAAGGAGAAACTGAGTACATTTCCTGCTCCCTGCTTCTGTGTGCCTGCGGTGTTACCAGCTGCTGGGGGCTCCTGCTGTCTTGACTGCCCCGCCATGATGGACTGCACCCTGGGCCTGTGAGCCAGCATAAGCCCGCCCTCCTTTAGTTGCTTCGTGAGCATGTTTCATCATAGCAGAAAAGTTCCTAGGACAACTAGGCTTGTCAATAGACAATACTTGTTAACCACAAGCATCACCCATGATTAATCAATACAGTGTGCGTCTTTAAAATGCCCTTGAGGTATTTACTCATCATCCTGCATGTGTTTAAATATTCCTCTGCCTTTTGAATATGTAAATTATCAAGTAGGCAATGGGAGGGGGCAGAACTTGGAGGACCGCTCTCTAATCCCTTCGTCAGGTTTGAGACCTCAGGGATGCTTCAAAGCCGTCAGTCATAGGAAGCTGTGTGTAATCAGGTCGCGTGTCTGTGGAGTGGAGCTCTTCCGGGAGACTCGTTCATACTTTTTCAAGAGGCTTCCTGGAGAGGACACTGAAGAGCCCCTGATTGAAATCCAACGACGGCTGCATAGAAATCTCCACCCCCACTTCCACCTCCACCCTTTGAGTTTCTGCTTTGGAATGTGAGCTTTGCTTTTCTGAGAGGAGAAGGGTCCGTTGGCTGCAACTGCCCACGTCTTTAGGAGTGGAGGTTTCTCCTGAGCTGCCAGCGGAAATGGACAAGGACGACTGTTTGAAGAGGTGCCTCTCACAGACGTGCCCCTGTCCTTGTGCCCGTGGAGGGCAGGCGATGAGCATCTGGGAACCGGGGGAGTGACTTCACCAGTTGCAGTCCTGCATTGATTGACTATGGGCATCTGTTCTGGTTGTGTCATTAGATGAGTTTGTGGTTGTGTGGCCGTCATAGAATGCATATACAAACCCAGGTGGCATAGGCCAGTCACTTTATTTAGCTATTTCTCTCTCTCTCTTCCTCTCTCTCTCTCTTTTTAGGTTTTTCGAGACAGGGTTTCTCTGTGTAGCCCTGGCTGTCCTGGAACTCACTCTGTAGACCAGGCTTGGCCTTGAACTCAGAAATCCACCTGCCTCTGCCTCCCGAGTGCTGGGATTAAAGGCGTGCACCACTACTGCCCCGCCTGGCTTTTCTTTTTGAAATGAGTTCTTATTCTCTAGTCCTGGCTGCCCTGGAACTTACTATTTAGACAGGACTGACCTTGAATTCAGAGACTCACCTGTCTCTTGTTTCCTAGGTGCTAAGATTACGGACATGTACCACACCTTGCCTATGAATTCTTTTAAAAAGTATTCTCTCTTGGGGTTGCAGAGACGGCTCAGCAGTTAGGAGCATTTGCTTCTATTATAGAGGACCTGGGTTTCGTTCCCAGCATCCTCATGATAGCTTACAACTTCTGTAACTCCAGTTAAGGGCACCTGGTGCCCTCTTGTATAAAACACATGCTTATGTAATATATATTTATGTAATTTATGTAATACCTTAAATTTTAAGTGACACGTATATTTGAGAGATACTGTGGCACTAAAATACCTGGTTATTTATCTATTTATTTATTGATTGATTTATGTATTTATTTATTAATTGAAGAGTTATTTTTCTGGGTGTGGTGGCACATGTCTCAAAAAAAAAAACTAACCAAACTCAAACAAAACACGCTTGTTTATTTGTACATAAAGCATGTGACACGTTTGCCACTGTTGAAGGATTTGATGTGTTCACATGTGTTGGGGTATGTGTACGTGCATAGGTGTGGGCTCAGGTCAGCCTGTAGCCACTTGTGTTAACCTAGCACAACACTCATGGAGCAGACACTGGTCAGGTACCTGATATACAGCAGCCGGCGTTTTAGACACTCCAGACACGAGGATGCAGCTGGGCAGCATACCTCAGCGTTCCGAGACACCAGACACCGATGTGATAGCTGTCCAACAGGATGCTAAAGCGTGTCTGTCACTGCGGCCATCCTGACTTACAGCAGTCTGTTCCAGACATTTGTGACAGCACTGTTCTAAAGAAACCACTGTGCTGCCGGCCCCACGAGGGCATCCCATTCAGTTATATGTGCCTAGCGCCCAACGGTGGCAATAAGTGACGACCCTACTGTTCTATATGCTTGCTATCCCTGTCCTGTATCCTGTCTGTCCTCTCAGTGTAGGACCGCTCATTTAGGTAAGTACAAGAGTGTGCCAGGCCCCGCCCGCAGCAGCCTCAGACCGGTCTTAAAGTCAGAAGGCTGCTCTGACAGGTTTTAACTGTTGATAGAAGAAAGAAATGATAAATGCTCAGTGAGACGGGAGAGTTAGTTATGCCAATGTGACTGTTACACACTACACAAGTGCTGGGGTGGTGAGATGGCTCAGCAGTTATGAGGACCCGAGTTCAGTTCCCAGCACCCACATGGAGACTCACAACCACGCGTAGCTTCCAGTTTGAAGTGATCCGACATAGGGATCTTCTGACCTCCAAGGGCACTGTATACACATGATACATATGTATACATGCAGACACATGCTACATATGTATACATACAGACACATGTTATGTATGTATCTATGCAGACAAAACACACACATGAAATAACTGATTTTTTCCCCGTTTGGACAGGGCCTTTCTGCATAGCCCTGGCTGACCTGAAGCTCCCCCTTCTGTGGGCTGATCCCTAGATTGTTCCCACGTTAGTGTTCATGGAGGCTTGTGGGCAGTCCGGTTGCTTCTGAGTCTTTTCCTTTTCTGCTTTCTTCGTGAGCCTCTTCATGCACATCTTGTCCCAGCTCGTGTTCTGTGAGGGATGGAATCACAGTCTTTGGAAGGCTGGATAGAATTTCCGGGAAGGAAGCTGTTGATTGATTCTGCCTGGTTAGCGTTGGCTGGCTTCACACTCACAGGTCCAGTCATCTGTGTAAGGAAGCCACAACTGTGTCTTTGTCACAGCTCCCTGTGCCACTTGGTCTGCCTCAGTATTCAGTATGCACTGGGACCGATAAGGACCAACCAAATGTTCACAGAGATGGCGACTCCATATGGTTTTGGGGTCACAGAAGCGTCTGGCGTGGGGAGAGGTTATGGAGGGCAATCCACCCAGTCTCTGTCTTTTAAAATAGCCAGGGCCTTGATTTTAGTGTCTTACCTGTTCACCTTAATAATGCAAAAAGCCTTTGGGGAAAAAGTTAGAGATTTGGAATGCTTTTCCTGCAGTTCTGAAGGTGTCACGGTTTTCGCCCACAAAGCGGTTTGTCTAACGTGTGTGATTTAGATGCCTGATTGTCCCCAGTGACAGGCCCGGAGTTACTGAGTTGGGCAACATCGTAAGCAGTTTTGGAGCCCGAGGCCTGAAAGGAAATGAAGAGAGATTGGCCTGTGTACAGCCAGGACACAGTCAGGTTCAGCTCGGAAATCTGCAAGCCAGTGCATTTGGCTAATTATAATTCAGGAATCAAACACTTAGCCCAAAGGGAAGCCCAGAATGGAGTGGAGACAGAAGGCAGACTGGGGTCGGCATGGTGCCACTTGCAGGTCACAGCACCGTGTGCCTTCACCCACTGAGCCATCTCCATGAGCCTGGACCCACTTTTAAAACAGTGCTCACGATGAATGCATAGAGCTCCACACACCACTGTAGGTTGGTCGCCAAGGGATCCAGGGAGCTTTGGTGTGACTGGCCACCACAAGACTGGGGGGGTCAGGACTGGGATCATAGGTTACAGGCATGTGCCACCATGCCTGGCCTTTTATGTGGGTGCTGGAGATTTGAACTTAGGTCCTCATTTGTAGAGCAAATGTTCTTATTCACTGAAATGTCTCCCCAGGCCTAGTCTTTGAGCATTCGATGTGAATGGGATTCTCCAGGGTAAGGGTTTTTCTTTTTTTCTTTTTTCTTTTTTTGTTTCTGGTGCTGGGATTTGAACCTAGGGCCTCCTACATGCTCCTCTACTGAGCTGCACCCTGAACCTAAGATAATTTGGACTGTAGGTCTTTCTTGCCTCCCTTTGATTGTAACCCCTATTTCTGACGCGGCTCCCCTGTTAGTCACGGGGTTCTGTTATTTTTAGACCATCACTGCGGTTCCTTATGTTCTTACAAGTCACTGAGGTTTCCGGTCATCTAGAGATGTCTCAGAGTGTGACATCCCCCAGTACCACCCGCTCAACCCTGTCTCTCTATGTTGATCTGAGCGACTGCACTAGGGGAAGGAATAAGATTATGTCAAGAACGTGAGGGTCTCAGACCCATCCAGATGTGTGCCTGTCAGCCTTGCTGAACAGATGTCGGGGCTCTCTGGGCCTTGGGGCCAAGCCTGTACTCCTGTCAAGTACTGCCACAGATTAAGGCCAGGAAAGGAATCCTCTGAAACAGTATAAGGACCAGTGGCACTAAGGCAGGCAGGCATGGCTAGCCAGGACACAATGATCCAGAATCAGCTCCGAAGCTGATGGAAGAACAGGGGTCGTGTTGCTTCTGTACATTGTAACTCCCTTATGCCGCCAAGCTTGTTTGACCCCAGCCCTGCCCCAGCCCTCAGAGGAAGAAGAAAAGCATGGCTGTGTGCTCCCGTCCTATTTTCTGAGTCTACAGGGCTCGAATTCTAGCTACCATGGAAACCGCACTTTGGAATTTCTGAAGCCCTTAATTTTAACAGATAAAAAACACTTTGGTGCCGATTTTATAATTGTTCATGATAGATGAGAAGTGACTGAAGGGGAAGGAAGACAGAACACGTTTCTCTTTCTCTTTTTTTTCCCCCACTCTTGCGAGGTGTGCGCCTCCGAAGTGTGTCTTCTCGTCTGGGTGTGACTCCTCCATCTTCCACAGATTCTGACACGATAGCCGAGTTACGGGAGCTCCAGCCGTCGGTGAGAGACTTCGAAGTTCAAAGTCTCGTGGGCTGCGGTCACTTCGCTGAAGTGCAGGTGGTTAGAGAGAAGGCAACCGGGGACGTCTATGCCATGAAAATCATGAAGAAGAAGGCTTTGCTGGCCCAAGAGCAGGTAGGAGTGTTCGAATCTCAGGTCTGGCATCTCTGTACCAAATGTCCATCACAGGGACGGTGACCTGCTAATTTGATGTCTGGGATCTAGTGAGTTGTAACTTCTAAGTGCGTGAGCAATAAAGGCCTCTCCTTGTCCTTAGCTCCCCTCAACCTGATGCTGATGAATTCCGAAGCCTCAGAAATTTCCATCGATTCCTTTGTCATGACTTTGCAGCTGCATTTTATTTTAGAGACACGTTGGGCTTTTCAACCAAAACTGATGCCTTTAGCACGAGCCCCTCAGGACTGTAAGCTTGGGTCTTAGGGACGTGCCTCACGACGTGGTGAATTGAGCAGTGGCCGCGCCTGCGCATTTGCTTAGGTGTCCACGATAGGGACACCTAATTTATCGTGGACGTTTAATTTTAGAGCAGGCCTTTGCAGAAGTCCTGGTAAAATTGTTCTCTGTGAGTCGCCTGTCTGAGAACAGGGTCTGGAGTTGTCTTTTTAGCTGCATTTTTTTCTTCCTTTGAAGAAAGGCTGCTCTCTCCAGACGTATTGATTCACTGGCTGTGTTTTCAAGAGACAGCCGTCAGCCTTGGAGTTCAGAGAGTAATCCGATAGTTACAAGCATTCTGGTGCACACCATGAGTCCCATAACGTGCCCAGCTCCCGTGGAAAGGCTGCAAAAGGAATGGCAGTCCCATGGCTGTCCCTTGCAGGGTTGAACTGCAGCCCCTGGAGGTAGAGGGAAACTGCAGATCTACAGAGCAGGAGCTTACCCGTTAAGCACCACAGAGGGGGAGAGAATTAGCAGTTCATTAGCTGTGGTGAAGGACGAGGTCACGGGTGAGCCCAGGGCAGTCAGGAAAGTCCTTAGGACGAGAGGGAATGAAGGCAGGGCAGAGAAGCTATGGGAACTGCCAGGTAGACACGTGGTCAGAGTCATATCCTGGGGGTGTGAGGTCTGGGGTCCTCTTCAGGGGTGTGTGTGTGTGCATGTGTGTCTGTGCATATATGTGTCTGTGTACATGTGTGCACGTGTGTGTGTCTGCATGTATGCGTGTCTGTGCGCACATGTGTCTGTGTATATGTGTGTCTCTGCATTTGTGTACTTGTGTGTACATGTGCATGAGTGCCTGTCTCTGTGTGTCTGTGCATGTGTGTGTATCTCTCTGTACAAGCACCTGTTTGTCTGTATGCATGTGACACGTGTCTGTGTGTGTCTTGTGTCTGTCTGTGCATGTATGTGTGTTTGTGTGCATCTGTGCACATGTGCTGTTTGTGGGGAGAGAGAGAGAGAGAGAGAGAGAGAGAGAGAGAGAGAGAAGAGAAGAGAAGAGAAGAGAAGAGAAGGAGAGGGAGGGAAGAGACTGGAATTTGGGGGCTGAGAACTAACTAGGAAATGAAGACATTTGATCGGACAGGGCCACAGTTGAGGGGAAATCTTAACCACCATAGTTTTTCATCATGTTAAACTCCGTGAGGTAGCATGTACCACATCAGCCTTTTTTGCCATAGGAGTCAGTGGCCTTGAGAGGTTTCCCCATGCTGTCATCTAGCTCCGCCAGTGACAAAGGGCCTTAGAGAAATCAACTTAGAGGGGAAGATGCTTTGCCCCATCTCTGCAAGTCACCCTATCAGGAACCAAGCTTTCGGGACACCAGCTTTTGGGGGACATTTCAGATCCAAACCATGATGCTCCTAAACAAACCCAAGATCCCTCTCTGTTGTGTTCTGTCTTTTGCGACAGAAACTGCAGCAGAGGATGGGGGGCCACTTGTCAGAGTCCAGGCGTGACGTGGCTTCTGTGTCTCAGAATGAAGTGTGAGCAAGGTCGCAGGGAGGGGAAGGAGAAGACACTGCCTGTGATTAGGAGGCCGGGCTGGGGTGTACTCACTCAGCTTCCCCACCCAGGGAAGTACTGTCTGGCATGGTTCTGGGTCCTTGGGCACGAGGTTGGCCCAATTGTGCAGTGCTTGTGTTTCGTCGGGAACTAGTGCATGTAAGATGAAGCCAACTCAACGTGACACGTGCGGGCAGGCAACCGAGAGCCAAACAGATGCACTTTCCTCCAGGGAAGGGACCTTAAGTGACCATGGTGCTGAGGTGAGGGCCTGGGTCTTTAAACACCCTATTTACATAGGAGCTAAGAAAACTAGCTACTGTTGGTAAATATGCCATTGATGGAAAGGTCAGTGTAACAAAGAAAAGCTGGCCCCCTCATGGAGTCACCGTGAGGATTTGGAATTTAAGGCTATGAAGAGAGAAGGGCAGCATGGGAAAACTGAAGGAGTTGTCAGAGAGGGCGTGAAGAAGCAGTGTCCTCATCCCACGTGAGAGACTGGAGTGTTGTGACAGCCAGAAACGGCCCCCAGAGACCAGTTACTGTAAAGGAGCCTTCAGGGGTCAGGCAGAGTCAATGGTGAGTAAGTGAGGCCAGGCCTGTTCGGATCCAGCTCCTCCACTGACCGCCTTCCCTGTGTCAGCATGTTTGCTAAGCGGCTCAGCACTGAGGTCTCCACGGTGACTGTATAGACTGGCGAGTGAACAGCACTTCAGAGCTTGGGATACGGCACAGAGGCCACGGTGCTTGTGTAGTATGCGTGAAGTCCTGGGTTTAGTCCCCAGCACTGACTGCATAAACACCGGTCTGCACTCAGGACCTAAAGGCTCGTGCACAGAGGCCAGAGGAGGATGGTGTCCTGCTCTGTCATGTCCCACCACAGTCCCTTGAATCAGGGTCTCTAGCCTTGGAGCTAGACTGGCACTCAGTCATCTTGATGTTTCTCTCCCATGGTGTTGGGGTTTGGAGCACCTGGCCGTGTCCAGCCTTTTTTATATTTACTTATTTATTTGTTCTATGGGCTGGGACACCAACTCAGGTCCCACCGCACATCCTCTGGTAGCCCAGCCTGGTTGGCTGGCTGCCGCACCTGTTTGCTGCTCTCCTCACCCTGATTGGGCCTGGCACTGGTGGCACCCTGCCTCGATTACCTGGCCTGGACTCATGGCACCTGTTAGAACAGACTAGGAAGTGGAGGTGCTTGGGAAGAGAAATATATTTAAGCTCAAGAAAAGTGACGTGGGGAGAGATGTTAAGGACGTAGCTGGATGGATGACATGGGGGCCCGGCAAAGCTGAGCCAAGAGGCCAGTAACACAGCTCAGAGCATCATGCTAATACCCGGAAAGATCAGTTTCGACTGCAAGGGGGGACAAAGGCCATTTCCCCTCACAGTTAGTTCTATCACAATTTTCTAAAGAGTTTCTTTTCCCTCCAGGTTTCCTTTTTCGAGGAGGAGAGGAACATATTATCTCAGAGCACGAGCCCTTGGATCCCCCAATTACAGTACGCCTTTCAGGACAAAAACAACCTTTACCTGGTGAGTCTTCACGTCTGTCCGCATGTACGCCTTTCAGGACAAAAACAACCTTTACCTGGTGAGTCTTCACGTCTGTCCGCATGGAACGTTCTGCGGCCCCGATACTCAGATTCCACAGATTGGGGACGATTCTTGCCGGTGTAGCCCGTGGCATCCCTCTCTCATTCAGTCGATATTCTGACTAGACGTCTCCCGTCCCTTGTTCTAATGATTAACAGCTGACCCACTTAGAAAAGGCCCACTGTACGCGGCTGCAGAGCGCAGCAATGAGAACTCATTTAACTGGGAATGGTCTCTAACTACCTTTAATAGAATCTTGCTTTAATTAAATTAATTAATATAGTTCCTGAGACAGGGGCTCATTATATAGATCTGGCTGGCCTGGAATTTGCTCTGTAGACCAGGCTGGCCTGGAACTCAGAGCATCCGTCACCTGCCTCTGCCCAGTGCCGGGATTAAAGGTGTTCTCATCTTGCTTTAATTTTTAAAAGTGAGGGTAATAACACATGATTGATGTAAGAGAATGCAGCCTGTTCCCTCCACACAGGTGTGGAAGCTGGACGGGTTTATCTCCTGGAAGCAGAGAATAGGATGATGGTTGCCTGGCTACCGGGTGAAGAGAGGCAGGGAAGGATGGTTAATGGGTAGATAGGTAAGAGGGATAAGTTTTGGTGTCCCACAGTAGGGCAACTGTTTCGAAATGATGTGCTTCATCATAACTAGAAAGGCTTGAATGATCCCAAGACAAAGAGGATGGTAAGTGGTTAATGTTTTGAACTTAATTGTTTTGATTTGACCATTGTACGTTGTTTATCGAAATACTCTGTACCCCATGGCTTCACACAGTCGTTAAGTGCAAATTTAAAACGCACACCAGTACCGCCAAATCCTACCCTCTAAATGCATATACTGGGCCAGTAGGATGGCCCCGCAGGTTGGGCTGCCTGCTGCCAAGCATGAAGACCTGAGTTTGGTTCCGGGGACCCACAAGATGCACCGTCCTCTGCTTTCTGCTCTTCTCTCTGGAGGGAGCACACACTGATGCAGGGGTCTGCCCTTTCTGACCTCGCCTATGTCTTACTAGGGAGAAACTGAACACACTGCTGTATATGCAACCGAAGGACTTTTCTCTCCAGGTGTGGAGGTGCATGCCTTTAACCCCAGCACTTAGGAGGCAGAGGCGCAGGGTGGGGGGACAGGGGGAGGAGTTCTGTGAGTTCCAGGCTAGTTTCAGATGTTGTTTCGGGGGTCAGGCATCGAGGCCAGGCCTTGAGCGTGCTAAGCACGTGTGTTCCTGAGCTGCAACCCTGGCCTCCAGGCTAGCCCTTTTGGATGGTGGCAGAGTCTTTTCTGATGTCCATGTAGCGTGGCTTATGGAATGCTGGAGCTCACTGGGAGGGTCCTTGTTGGTTCTTAGAGGATTGAGTTGCTAACTGTAAAACATGCTCTAGAAACATTTGTTCCTGGTTCAGCCTTTCGTGCAAGACTCTAGTGTCACCTTGGGTGAGGATGAGGAGGCTGTGGAAGGGAGCAAGGAGCTATTGTTTTGTTTTGAATACCTACTGGCCATTTTTTTTTTACATGACGTTACTTCCTTTGTTTCTGATCTGAAAGAATCAGTCTGTTTATCTTGGTTCCATCTGAATTGAAGTCTCTCCCTGGATCTACCCAGCCCTCTCTTGTATATGGTGGTTTTGAGGTAAGGTCTTGTTACGTATCCAGGCCAGCATGTACGTCAAGGATGCCATAGGTGGGGTTGTAGGCGTGCACCATCACGTCCTGGTGACTGAGCTTTCTCGGGCTCTGTCCATGTGCATGTGGGTGTGTGCACGTATATCAGAGGCCAGAGCTTGGGTATCTACCCTGCCACTTGATTTAGTTCTTATACAATGTCTTACTGTGTAGTCCTGGCTTCTCCGGAACTCTCTATGTAGAGCAGGCTGGCCTTAAATTCACAGAGAGCCCCTTGGCTCTGCCTGCCGAGCGCTGACATTAAAGGCGTGTGCCACCACATCCAGCTCCACTCCGTGTTCAGGTTCCATCCTCAGGAAGGCCAGTTTGTTTCCTGTAAGATAGAATCTCTCATTGGTCTGAAGCTTGCCAATTAGGTTAGGCTAGCTGGTTTAAAAAAAAAAAATCCCATTTGCAGTGACATCCCGTTGAACTTGGCTTGCCATTTTTCTGCACTGCGGAGGTAGCACAGTTCAAGCCAGTCCCGGGTTCCATCTATCAAGGTTAGGCTGTGACTCTGGCAGGTGGCCCACGGAATCAGTTCTTTGTTGCTCTTGCCACTAGCTTTTCTGTTCGTGAGCAAATTCACAAGGGAAACTAGTTAAAGGCCTACAGAGTCCCAGTCCATCCTGGCAGGGAGGATGTGGTCAGGAAGGGTAGCTCTTCATGGCTGCCAGGGAAGAAGAGAGAGACAGAGAGAGACAGAGACAAAGAGAGGGAGAGAGAGATAGGAGAGAGATACATGAAGGAGAGAGAGAGAGAGAGAGAGAGAGAGAGAGAGAGAGAGAGAGAGAAAGAAAGAGAGAGAAAACCCATACCCCCGTGCCCCTGACCTGCTCCTTGCTGCTTCCCCTCAGGACCCTTGGCTTGTACGATGCTGACACTTACACTCGAGGTTGGTCTCCCCGCTGCATTAACTCTCCCTGGAAATGTCCCCTCAGGTACATCCGCACATTGCTGTATGGTTTCCCAGGCACCTCCCTGTCCAATCAGATCAGCAGATATGGCTGATGATTTCACTGGAAGATTGGAAGGGTGGATTTGGGGCAGCAGCTAGTGGTCCCCACAGGGGTACAGCTAGGACTTGAAGCCAGGCTCCCGGCTCCCACCAGCTTCTAAATTCCTACTCCTGGTGCTATCCAGCTGTATCCAGAAGGCTCCTGATAGCACCCTGCTCTGGTTGTGCTGCCTGAGGGTAGCTTTTCAGTCTTTCAGTTTTCAACACACACCGGTGCAATTCTGTGGGCAGTGTTTCCTTTGCCCGTAGGAACAGTTTGGAAATGACCTGTTTTGGGTTGCTGACCCCAGGGCATTTGCAGAGCCAGCACCTGTTACCATCCCGAGTCAGGAGGGAGTTAATGAACGCAGAGCCGTTGTTTGTGCTAGAACCAAGTGACAGCTTATGATAGTTTTGACAACGAGACATGTGCTGTTTTGATCTCTTGGCTAGGATTATCTGAATTTCAAGCGTGCCTCAAAAATCACCAGGCACGTGTTTGCCTGTTTCCTCTCTGGAAGCCAGGGTTTGGGAGGCCACTGCCCGTCAGGACATCTGGTTTAAAAGGCCTGTTCTTGTTTTATTGCTATTCCTTATTTGGACTTCCCAGAGTCATCCTTCTCAGCTTGAATTTTCGTTGGTAAATAAAGATAGTAATTATTCTTTTTGGCCCCAATTCAATTGCTTGAGTGTGTTACTGCCATTGGGGTTCTTTGAGTTTGAAGTAGTTGCTCTGTGTCCAGCTCCTGGGACGTATTTCAAGAGAATGCGTTCAGAGTTTTGTCCTTTTTGGGAGACACGGTTTGGTCGAGTGGCCTCGGTTCTCCGTCTCCACTCTCAGCGTCTCTGATTCAGGAGGTCTGACTGCACTGCTGCTGGTTCAGTCTCTGTGAGAAGTGTTGCCTTGCTGTCACAGGCCCTCGGGTGGGTTTCTGATCATTGCTTCTTCCTTGGTCTGTGCAGTACCGGAGCGTGCACATCTGAAGTCACTGGTTCTTCTGAGGCTCAGGAACGGGCTCCTTTGCACTGTCAGCCTCAGGGCGCTCCACCGTCCTGTGCTCATTTCCTTTGCTCGCCCAAATCTCTGTCAGCCGCCCTTCCTCACGCCTGTCCCGGGTTACTTAGCTGAGCACACTGCTTCTTGTGCAGACTGTGTGAATCGATGCTCTCTACGGACTTTTTCTCTTTATAAATGGCTGAATCGGGCTGGAACTCAGAGTTTCAGAGATAGAAGGCCTTGTCTCATCTCCTAGATAGCAGCTGTCGATCTTCCTCATGCTTTGACCCTTTAACACAGTTCCCCGGATGGTGCTGACCCCCAACCATGGCGTTATTTCATTGCTACTCCATAACTGTAATTTTGTATCCCTGCGTGTATGTATGTGGGCACACATGTATGTGGTTCTTATGTACACAGATGTGTCTATGCATGTGGAGGTCCAACGGTGATGTCGGGACTCTTCCCGGATCATCCTTACTTTATTCATTGCGGCAGCCTTTCACTTGAGGCCAGAGTTTGCCAGGCTGCCGAGTGCGTCCTTTGTCTCTGCCTTCCAAATGCTGGAGTTACAGGAGGGCTCTGCCACGCCCAGCCAGCATTCACACAGTGACCGGGGTCTAAACTCTGGTCCTCATGTGTGCAGCCAGTACTGTGCCCGCTGAGCCATCTCCGCAGCCCCAACACATGACCCGTGTGTGTATGTGTGTGCTGTGCCTGCCACGACATGCGTGTAGAGGCCACTTGTCTCCTTCCACCATGTGGACTTCAGGGAGTGAGCTCAGGGCGTGAGACCAGGTGCCAAGTGCCCTTTCCTGATGAGCTGTCCTAACCCCGACAGGTGAGCGTCGTAACAATGAACACATAAGTGTTCATACCCACCTCCCCCCATGCATGCACACGCACACAGATCCGTGCACACACACGTCTGTCCTTCATTTTGACTTGAGCTAAGTGAATGGAAATTGCCACTGAGTCCTTGGAGTACAGACGCAAAACCCAACAGTGAAGCCTCAGCTCCTTTCAAACCCAACACATGGAAGAGCTGCCTTTAATTAGCATTTGCAGCTGCCGCTGTAGAAGGGCTCTGTCTCTGTTGGCCAGAACGTCTTTGCTTTGAAAGAGCGAGTCCTTCACAGCTCCAAGCCGGGCTCCGCTGTCAGCTGCTATGTGGTCTCTGCCACCAGCGGGGCTGCCACATTGTGTAGGCCTGTTTTACCGGAGGCTCTTTCGGCCATCTCATCTCCCCGGCCCCTGACTGCTGTGATTTGGTGA